CCGGACGGGTCAGGGAGAGCTGCATGGGCTGCAGCGGGCCGGGAAAGCCGGGTGGGGGGCGGCTCTGTGGAGCAGGGACAGTGCGACCTTGAGCCCCAGCCACGCCTTCCCGTGACCAGTGGTGAAAACTGTGGAGAAAACTGTGCCCACTGGCACTACCTTCCTCAGCATCCCGGTCCTGCAGCGGGGCTGGGCACACGGTAGGTGCTCAATAGTTGCCAGATGCACCAAAAAGTAAACTCCTACTGTAAAGCCATGAAAGTCTAATTTTCTCCTTTTTTTTTTCAACAAAACCCAGAATAGAGAGTTAGGCTAGAAATAGATTCCCAAAAGTATAAGATATTTTCCTCTAGCTTTGGAAATTGTTTTTCTCAGCTGTTTTATGCTTGGAGGAATCAAAAGTAATGAAAAATTAATGTAGGATTAATATTTTATCAGAAAAGTTTCATTTCCTTCAGTATGGGCTCTGAAACGTGGACATGTTTGATGTCCTCCTTCGTGTTCTGATGCCCACGAATTCTGTCAATAGGAAGCACAAGTTAGGGCTCGGCTGACCTGAGACAACCACGTCCCGCAGACGCCCGAGACCCACACAGCACTGGAGGCTCCCCCCAGCACATGCGCTAATTCTGACTGCCAAGATGGCGCCTTCTAACCTGCACTTCCTTTACTGCAAGAAACACAGAGGGGCAGTCCCAGCCAGGGGTCATTTCTCAGTGGCGCGCTGCCCCCGCTCCATGTGGCTGAGTGAGCTCTGCTCCCTGCTGGAGCCCCTGTCCTGCCGCACCTGACTCCTAAGTCTTCGTGTGCGGCCACGGCTGGTCAGGGCTCAGCACCTCCCACACTCACTGCCCTGTGACTCCGAGCAAGTCACCGGCTCCCTCACCTGTAAAGTGGGAAGGATAAGGCCCTGGCACCTCACAGCAGCAGAGGCACAGCAAACGCCGTTCCTTGCTTCTTGCTCCGGGGACCTGGCTGGCTGACGCGCAGAGCTCACTGTGATCAAAGCTCCAATGAGCTTGCGGTCACTGGCCAGCAGGACTGTCCTCCCTGCTCCGCTCTGCTCCAGGCAGGGGTCCCCAAGGAGCAGGGAGCTGTATCTAAGGTCTGCACCTCCGCTCACGGAGATTCCAGGTGCCTGTCCCAGAGTTCAGTGCGTGACAGGGTCTCTCTCTCTCTCACTGAAGCCACGGAAGTCAGTGTGCCGGAGTAACTAGGGAGTGCTGCTGACTGGCACAGCGTGGCCAGTGAAATCCTTACCGGTGGAAGCAAAGGAAAACGGTGTGGTGAAAATGTTTCTCCGAATCATCTGTGTAGGGCCTGGCCCGGAGAGGAGCTGCCTCACGGTCAGCACGGTGACACCTGTTAGCTCAGACCCCTCAGCCACCTGGTAGGAGCACGGCTTTGTCAGGGTGAATATTCTAACATAATTTTAAAAATCCTAAACGTGAATGGTGTGGGGAGAGGAAGATATGGACAAGACAACCCTGGAACGGGCGGCGAGTCTGGGCAAAGGGCACGGGGCCAGGTCACCCCACCAGGGGAAGTCCCCTCCCTGAGGACACCCCGGTCGGACTCTCAGGCTCCAGGGATCAGGATGGGGCTGACGGCATGTGACTGTGTGGTCCCCAGGTGGTCCCCGCTCTCCAGCTGGACCGGCAGCCGCAGAGGACTCTGTGGAGCATGTGTTCCCGCTAACGCTTCCATCCTGCTCGGCAGAGATAGATTTACATATGTGTCACTGCAGAAGCCCGGGAGAATTGCCAGCGAGACGCAGAGGAGGCAAGTGCAGGGCAGTGCCACTCTCCTGGCGTCACCTGCCGCGGCAGCTGCACGCTTCGCTGGAGGGGAGCAGACAGCTAACGAGGAGCAGACAGCTCTGTCCTGGGGCAGAGAGCTCTCGGCGGAGGCTGCGGCGCCTCATCACCTGTGCTGGACTGGGGACACGTGGGCGTGTGAGCACTTGGAACGTTCTGCTAAGCCATCCGCTTCCTGTTGGAAAGACTCTTCTAACCCGGTGTTTTGTACACTGTGAAGTAGTGAGTGCCCGAGAGGAAGTGTGGAGGCCACCAGGGATCCGGGCCGTGGAGCTGTGATGATTGGGGGACCCCACTCGAAGACAACCATTGCTAGCACTGCATTCAACAGATCCCGCCTCCCGTCTTCCAGAGACTGTGATGCCTTGTGTTAAGGTACGTAGGCTCCTGATCAAAAAAGGAACTTCCACGTGGACAACCCAAGCCAGCACACGGGGAGCACGGCAGGGAGTACGCCTGTTTCTCAGGACGCCACTGGGCCAGGAAGACCTCCTTCCTCCCCACCCCTCGGCACCCCACCCAAGAGGAGGCCACCAACCCACGGTGGAATGCAGGACTCCACACCTCGGTGGGAGAGTGACGCTCGAAACAGGAAGGGTTAGGAACCATCTCCAAGAGTTTCGCTTCTGCGGCTTTGTTTTTCGTCTTTTTGAGACAAGGTCTTGCTATGCAGTTCAGGCTGGCCTTGAACTCACTTTGTAGCCCAGGCTGGTCTCAAACTCACAACAATCCTCCTGCCTCAGCCTCCCAAGTGCTGGGATTACAGGCATGCGCCACCATGCCTGGCTTTGCTGCTTTGTGTGTGGGTGAGACAGCCACTAGCTGGAGAGATGCCTAGGGAGGAGAAAGACGTGGTGATGTCTGCCACCATACATCTGCCCACCGGAGGCCACGTCGCCCTTGAGTAGCACAGGAGGGACACTCCTCCTCTAGCTGTGACCTGGGTCAACCAGCTGCCGTCAGATCTGCACTCACTTTGTGGGTCTTTCAGGTGAACCATGAGAAAATGCCAACATTTAACCAATTTGATGTGCAAAAATGGCAATTTTTAAAGGATCTAGCAATTATTTTCCAGCAGTTGGATCCTAGGGGAAAGACCTGAGTGAGTGGAGCACAGCGTTTGGCGTTAAAGAAGAGAAAATGTGTGCAGCACTGTGCAGGCCCCCGGCATCTCCAAGGAAACGTTCACCAGGATGGAAACGCAATGCTGCTGTGCCCGCCTTCCGAGGAGGGTGCCGCCTGAGCTGAAGAGGAGGACTGTGCCAGGCCATGTTCCGGTTTGTAGGTACAAAATAGAGAAGCCGCAGACATTTTCTGAAATGTCTCTTCTAGATTTTTGTATCCATGCTAGAGAATATGTGTCAGAAAACACAGGTGTCCTTGTCTAACAACCTACCTGCTCAGCGACTTGTGGACTGATGACCAGGGCATCTACTCGGACTTAGGACCCGCCACTTGGACTTACCGCCTCTTCCTTTGTACAGTTGTGTGCACCTTGTTGGTAGAGACTCGGTGTCATTTTTGTAGGGTACACCTTGTTTATACAGGCCTGTACTTTTTGATTGTACTCTTTGATTGATTCTGATTGTACTGTATAGTGCAGCACATAATTTTACATTCTGTCAAACGTTACAGTGCTGCATGTCAGAGGTATGCAAATAGAAGCAAAGTCATCAAGTTGGAGTTGCATTTGACCATTTCTTTATTCTGAATGTTGTAGTGTACAAACTATATACAATTCCTCATTTAGGGACCAGTGCATTTAACAACCTAGTTTAAGGAGCTGAATTCTGTCGATAAACAAGGAATGTCTGTAGTTGTCTTACAAATTCTAAGTACAAACTTGTCCAACCTTCTCTCACTTAAAGTACACATAAGGGTGACAGTGCTGTCGCCAAGGCTTCAGAGAGTGAGGCCCTTGATACCCCGACTGGAAAGATCAGACAAGGGGCCTGGACCTCTGAGGCTCTTGCTGAAGGTTTATGACCTAGGAAAGTAAATGAGCTTGAATCCTCAGGGACAAAAGGTTCAAGCTACCTAACCTAACAGTGCTGGACACTTTTCTCTGCAAAGCATAAGCTTTAATGTCCTCTGAGGTTTGCCAAAGCATAAGGTGGTTATGAAGTAATGGCTCTTGTTTACTTCTGGTTTTGACATTTTATGATTTCCTTTGCAGAGACAAATGGATACAAAGAAAGTTAAGTCTTCTAACTAGGTGAATGACGGCACCAGAGAGTCTCCTGTGTTTCTTTACTTCTTCACTCTTAACAGTCCTAGCGATAGACAGCTACCACAATGCTTCTCTTTTATTCCTCTGACAATCTTTTGGCTAAGAAATTAAGCTATCAGAAAACTTTCGGAAGTTATTTTGCCTATAGAGAGTAGAGAAGGCTGGAGGCAAAAATATCACTAAGAAATCAGCTCCTTCCCAAGCAGTCACCACGCAGTTTCTCCCACGTAGTCACAGGCACCTCGGCGACAGCTGCAGCCTCAGGACTTAAACATTCCTGCCGTGGCCTTCGTTAAAGATTGTTTAAAGATGTCACCATCTGTAAGTCCTGCTGACACCAACAGTCCGTGTGACCTCGGGGACACGGCTCTGCCCTCGGGACTTGGGAGCGCCCAGGTGCCTAAGACCCAACCGGCCAGGGGTGCTCGGCTATGTCCCAGGGGCTCTAGGGCCCAGGCTGAGTGTGGTTACCTGCAGGGTGAGGAGCTGTCTGGCTCCAGAGCTTTTTTTTGTTGTTGTTCTATTCTTTGTACAGCCTTTATCACATTCTTTTTAAACAACAGTATCATTAACATATTTTCAAGCTTTGAGGCTAATATTTGTATTAATATTTGGAGCAATTTCTTCCTAGAATGAAATGCCCAGGACAGATTAGAAACTTCTATCGGGTCTGGAGGAATGATGTCGGGGAGAAATTACTGTCGGCTTCTGTGTCAGTTCTGAGGATCTGCGCAGCGTCCTCAGACTCTGCCCCCCCCCCGCTCCCATGCCCAGCTCTACTCCGATGGCCGTGCAAGGCCTGGTGACCTCCCAGGCCTCAGCCATCCCCGCAGGGCTTCCACCTCTGCTCTGGTAGCCCCAGTGCCCAGTCAGTCAAGAAGTCCTCTCTGCGGGGTGCACTTCCCGCCCCTGTGCCCTGCCTTGCCCCTGAGCTTCTCCCTGTCACCCTGCAGCTCCTGGACTGCTTCGTGATCCCGGTGGTGATCCTGCTGTCCTGGTTCTTCCTGCTGGTCCGGTACAAGGCCGTGCACTTCCTGGGCATCGTGGTCTGCATCCTGGGCATGGGCTGCATGGTGGGCGCCGACGTGCTGGTGGGGCGACACCAGGGAGCAGGTGAGTCCAGGCCAAGGGCTTCCAGGCGGGTGAGGCCCCAGCAAGGAGGAAGTGGGGGGCACAGCAAGGGCCCAGAAGCTGCCTCTGGGGCATTGCTGGCCTGGGGACGTCTTAGAGGCTGGAGCAGCTGGCTGGAGGTGCTGGTGCTGGACACACCCGCTCCTGAGCGTACAGCCTCCCCACCACCAGTCGGAGGCTGATACGGGCCTACGTGGTGGGCATTTAACATCAGGAGGCTGATGCGGAATGTTCAGTATCTCAAGAGAGACAGCTCAGCTCAGCCTGTTGTGCACGGCTTTTGTTTGTAGTGGGCAGAGGGTCACTGGTACCACTGCTGCATGGAGGTACATCTGGCGAAGCTTCACTCCCGGCCTGTCAACCCTGCAGTGGGTCCTCGGGAGGCCTGGCCAATTGAATCTCAGAGGGTCCTTTTTAAATGTAATGCTTTTCAAATGGACCCTAATCTTCCTGCTGTAGAAGGGCTCCTGGAACAGAAAGAAAGTTACCACTGGAGTAGAAGAGAAGGCGCCACTTTTCTATAGTGCTTGGGATTGCTCTTTCTGCCAGGAAATTAGGTAGCAAAGAGTCAGAATAGGGACATTTCACTTCATGAGACCAGGTCATCTGAAGTCTGAAATGATGTCATTTGTACTGCACCACAGAACTTTATAACTGACAAGGACCTTCTTTAGCCCCTTTCTGTGTAACACATGAGAACCCCAAGATCCAGGCAGCCCAGGAAGGAGCCCAGGGCCTCAGAGCTGAGAAAGCACAGGGTCTCAGTCCCCAAGCTCCTGACACCAGGCAAGTGTCTTCCCATCTGCGTGCTAGGAGCAGAAGATACAACATGGGCAAGAGACAGCCTCAGCCTCCCAGCGCCTGGCCCACCATGACAGAGAGGCAGAAATGCACTTGCAGCATCTCCCAACCCCCAGCTCTTGTCCAGGAACCATGGGTCACAGGAGGGCCAGCCGCATTCTCTGTGCAGGAGTCAGTAGGCTCGGGGCGGACAGTCTCTTTGGAACCAATCAGATGGCATTTTTGTTGGGTACAGTGTGGCCAGTTGTTCAAAATCACAACTTAATTACCCCTCCTCCGCCTTCTGCCAAGCAGAGCCATGTACCTCAGGAGGGTCCTGCCCCCAGCCCTGCCACTGGTCCTGGCCGTCAGCTGACAATCCTTGGGCAGGGAAGTTGGCGGTCCTAATGGATCTGAGTGCCTATGCCTGGATGTTCAGTTGACTTCAATGGGTCCCCAGGTTTTATACCCGACTTCTGTAAAAGATTTTTCTAGCTTTCAAATGAAGCGTTAGAAAAGAAGAACCATTAAAGAAAAGGACAGAAAGCCCATTAGAGCCCTTTCCAAAGCAGTCAGACTTTCCTTTTCTGTTTTTTAAAATTTGGAGGAGGCAAAAACACCCTGAAGTGTTTTATCTGTCCATGAAATCTGCCGTAGACCCACAGCATCGGTGACCTGTGACGCAGGAAGCAGTCATGTCAACAGAGTCAGCTTTAGCCCAACAGGGTGTTGAAAAGGCACCCAAGTCCCTGTCTGATGTTTTAAGTCCAGCTCAGGTATGGTGTCCAACAGCTCATCTGACAAAATCAGGACTGGACATAATTCACCCCTACAAAAGTGTTTAATTCAGTAGCAACTTAAGTTATTATATAAAATATATTTTAAAAAGGAAAAAAAAACAGAGAAAATAGGAAATTCGTGTAGCCTACACGTAGTCTAGACAGCATTCTTTCCGTATATCACTTAATCCTTATTTTTTCAGAGCAGTGACTGCTCTAAGAAATGTACAATTGTTGTAACATAGTAAGTTCAGGTGAACAACTCTCCCAGATTGCCTGGAGTGGAGAGGATCTCCCAGGTGTGCGACGTTTAGAGTTAAACCGAGTCCCTGCAAAACGAAGGTGTCCCCTATTTGAGACTCTGATGTGGCGGAGCGGGGGGGAACGTTTTCATGAACAGCTCCAGCCGCCTTCCAGGTTTAGTGGTCGACCAAGTGTAAGCAGTGATTTAAAAACCTTTGCTCTCCTCCTCCCGCCTCCACTCACACACCCTGAAGCCTCCAAACAGGACTTCGGATAATTAAACAAAACCCCAGTGAGGAAATTCAATTCCTGCAAAGCAGTTAGAACTCGAGGGGCAGTGGGGATGAGAAAGGCTCACCCAGCGCCGCCGGGGTCACTCACGGGGTGATGGACTCGCTTTCCAGACACCATCTGCGAGCACCTCGTAAGCCCAGGCAGCACACCAAGCGTTTCACACGTTGTGTTCTCACAAGAAACACATTTTAAGATGAGGAAACAAGTGCAGAAAGACCCTCTGGTCTGCCCAGCATGACACGGTTCAAACTCTACCTGCACTGCCGCTGCCGCTGCCCAAGCCGCTGCCCACGGGGTGAGGAGGACCCTCAGTCAGCGCCTCCTGTAGGGAGCATATCCTATTCCGAGAGCCACGCCCGGGACCACGCAGAGCACAGGGCTAAGTCACAACCCACACCCTTCGAGTCCACAGGTCACACGCGCAGAGAGGACCTCGAGAGGGTTCAGATGCCAGGTGTGGAGCTCGGGCGAGGCGGTGGCTGAACGGACTTTCACAAGTTCAGATGGGTCCGCTAACTCCACATTTAAAAGCACTGTCACTTGTGGCTTCGTGCAGACATAATGACAGCTTTTCTGGGCGTAACTTTAGCCCGGGAGCATTGTACAAAACCAGCAAGCAGCACCACGCCAGTGTCCACTGCGTTAGACGCATGAACGGAGCAATGTGTCATGACTCTTAGCTAACTCAGCACAAGTGTTAGACACAAAACACAAATTCCCTCATCACACCAAGCACCTCAGTGTGCTACGTGGCTGATAAAACTGTGCTCTGTTTAGTTTGATCATATTTAATCAGTGACATTTTCATATTTGTCACATCTGTCAGCTTTGCATACTGTAAAAGTACCTGAGATAGGGCTGAGGAGGTAGCTCAGCGGCACAGCGCCTGCCTGGCAAGCACAAGGTCCTGAGTTCGATTCTAGTACCAAAACGACAACGACAACAAACACCTGAGATAAATCAATTTGAAAGGAAGAAAGGGTTATTTTGGTTTGTGATTTCAGAAATTTCAGCCCATAGATGCGTGGCCATGCTGGGCCGGCAAGGCACACCCTATGGAGCCCACGGGGAGAGGTCAGCTCCCCGAGGGGCAGCCAGGTCGCCTGAGAGGGAGAGGAAGGCCAGGGCCCAGGGCCCTCAGGGCCCTCCTCGCATGAGCCGATGGCCGCTGTGCTGTGCGCGCACAAATCCCCTTCAAACTGATTTTAAAGTCGGTGAGTATGGTTTTTAGCAAAAATGTAGTTAACAATGTAGAGCATTTTTGTCACTGGTACCAGAAAATATTTCTGAACTTGCTGTTACACAAAACCATTTCATTCACCAAATAATTATCCCTGGATTGGCAAAGACTCAAAAAACGGTGAGTAGTTTCTGTGGTAGAGGCCAGAACTGGATAATCATGGAGTTCAAAAAACTCAGTGAGACTTCACCGGGACCGGGTGTTCTCTTTTCAGGACTTTTGAGAGATAGATCGATGTTAATAGTTCCTATTAACCTGTTTACTTATGATTTAGCTTTCCCGAGTCCCGTTGTATAACATTAATTTTAGTAACTGAGGATCCTGAAGTGTCTCCTGAACAAAGAGACGAATAATTTTACAGTTTTAGTTAAAGGTATATTTTGTCTTTGGGGTTGTTCCTCCGTGAACTCCTTAAAATTGAAAGCTTGTCACCCTTCTATGGCTGGCACACAGCGGAGGCTCCAGTGAGTGAGTCGCCACAGCCGGCTTCCCCAGGGTCGAGCCCTGCTGCCCCTCAGGGCCTCAGCCCCTGGCTAGGGACTGAGGGCCGCACGCTCACCCAACCCCAACCCCAACCCCACCCCCGACTGAATACAGTCCAGTCTCCCCATCATTCCCTGAGAGCGAGACCTCTTCCCTCTCCCTCCAGTCCTCTCATGGAAAGTGGCTCCGCGCTCCGGCCTTCCGTGGTGACTGCCTGAGGTCCCCGCAGGCCGGGCCGCGTCCTTTCCTGGGAAGCCACATGCTGGAGTGCCTGGGCTCCAACTGCTCAGGAGAAGCTCTGCGTCTGAGAGGCCGGAGCTGAGCCTGCCGGACTCTTGCTGGGGCCACAGCTCACCCGCAGGCACCACACTGCTGGGCTGGGGCTGCTGCTGCCCTGGGCTCCTCTGCCCCAATTCCCTGGCTCCCTGGAGTGGGGAGAGTTCCCCTAATTGTAGAAAATACTAGATAACACACTTCTTAAAAATGGGACAGGAAGCAAAACTGAGCTGAAAACGGCTTTTTATGAGTCAGGCATTAATGACATTGTTCTCCTTTTCACGTTACTACTTCTGGGGAGAAAATAATGCAGATCCTTTCGATCCCATCATCTGAACAGCTCGCATCTTGCCTGTGGTTGAAGGTGACTGTGAAGCTGGCTGAGCTCTCCTCCTGCAGAGTGGAGGGCGGGAGAGATTCGCTGGCCCACGTTGGGTCCACCTGAGGTCACAGAGCGCCCTAGGGAGCAGTGCGTCAGCAGTGCCAGCCTCTGCCGCTCACAGAGACACTCCCAGGCCCCGCACCAGGCTCTGTGGAGAGAATGGACCGAAAGAAACTCGTGTCCTTCTCAGCAAGAGGCCTTCGGTGTGCCAGCTGTCAGCACGGGCTTCCTGGACAGCAGCGCACACCTAGAGCATGGCACGAACTGCCCACTTCCGGGGAAATCGTGGGCCTCTTGCAGAACTGGAATGGGCCAGGGAGCTCAGCTGCTGGCGCCAGGTCCTGTTAATGGGGCTCCTGTGCTTTCTTGGTCCCAGGGGAGAACAAGCTGGTGGGGGACCTCCTGGTGCTGGGAGGGGCCACGCTGTACGGCATCTCTAACGTCTGGGAGGAGTACATCGTCCGGACGCTCAGCCGCGTGGAGTTCCTGGGCATGATCGGGCTCTTCGGTGCCTTCTTCAGTGGAATTCAACTGTGAGTAAAACAGCCAGAGCCCAGTGGGGGTGAGGGGCTGCTGTGCCTCTTGGCCCTCAGGTGTAAGATCAGGACTGCAGAGCAGGCACCAGCCTCCACACCTAGCTCTTACAAATGTGCAAATTGCTTGGTAAATTTCTCTCAAACTAAGCAAGTGTATTATAAATTATTATAGAACATTTAATGAGCCTTGAAGGTAATTTGTTAGAAAACATGAGCACTTCCATCCTCCAGAACCATTGAGCGGGATATTAGAGAAGCGAAAATTAAGCATGAACGTCACAGTTCAATGTACTTCCAAAAAGAGACATCCTGTGCGCTAGTGACAACTGCTGGGAAACTCGCAGTTTAAAATTGCCCTGTTAAAAACTCATTCTTTTACTGCCCATGGATGTATAAAAATAAACCATACTTCAAATTCATTTCTTAGAATTTAGGATTTCCATTTTCATTTAAAAATAAAGATGTAACACAAACATTCACTAGTGATTGAAAAGGCAAAAGCACCAGTTTTGCAATAATTCTGGAGCAAATAAGTCATCACTTAAAGCATCACTTGGTGTCTGACATTTATTGTTAAAATAAGGGTCAAGAAAGCGTAACTTTCTATCAGTAAAGGACTTATGTCCTATATTCCTTATAAGGGATAAAGAATGAGCACATCACCTCCAGCCTGAGATCAGCAACTCCTTTTCCACAAAGAAGTAATTCTCAGTTCACCACATTTCTTCCTACAAAGCCAGCACTTTGTAGTTGTATTGGTTCAGTGTCCAAAGTTATGTATGGAAGATGTTTTGGAGTCACCTTAAACACATTTGGCATTCAGTGTATTTCTGGCAGTCCTCTGAATTTTGCTGTCCTGAGATACTGATAAAACAAATAAACAAGCAAAGAAAAGCCCTCTAGAGCAAGCCAGGGGTCCTGGTGTGCCCCTGTAATCCTAGAACTCTGGGAGGCGGAGACAGGAGGATTGCAAGTTCGAGTCCAGCCTCGGCAGCTTAGTAAATTAGCAAGATCCTGTCTCAAAAAATAAAACATCTGGAGGTGTAGCTCAGTGTGGATCCAATCTCCAGAACCACAAACAAAGAAAAAGAAAAAAGCCCACAGCACAAAGGCACAGAAATACAAAACCCTACGGAGGGTTTATTGGGGCCCGTTCTGAAGGTGCGAAGGCTTGGTAAGAGGAAAGGGGTTGCCCTGCGTGGCTCTGCGGAGCCTGTCTTTGTAGACGGACGGTGCTTTTACGGCTCTCGTCCCTGAGTGCAAGGCACCTATCCGGAGGTCCGGGGCCGCTTGCTTCCGTTACAGCCCACTGTCTTGGACTGAGCCCCCGGGGACGCTGCCTCAGGCTCGCTTGGCAAAGGGGCACCTCCGGGACAGGCTGGACTCACTGTGAGTGACGGAGCAGGCCCAGCACACCCCGGTCCCTCTCGTGCCTGGGGCTCACGGTGCAGCAGCCCTGGCACCCGAGAGCACCCCTCCAGCGCGCCAGGCGTGCCCACCTGTGAGGCACTGCTGGGGAGAACGCAGCCAGGGGCGCCTAACCCTGCGAGTGCAGTGCTCTCCCGCACTGGCCGCTGCTGCTCCGGGAGCCCCTGAGCAGGAGGAAGCAGGCTGCGCCAGGTGTGGCCGAGCGGACAGAGAGGTGGGCGGGTGGCGGGGTCCACTGTGCACACCAAGCCCGCCAGCCCACCACCAGCCATGCCCGGCAAGGCCTCCGGGAGGAGCCACGCCGCCGCTGTGTGGCCTAAAGTCATGTTGGAAGTTCGGCTGGAGGCTTCGTCCTGTGTGTGGACGTGGTAAGGGAGGGAAGCAGAGCTCAGGCCTGCTACTCATCACACCCACTCTCCTTGACTCCGCAGAGCCATCATGGAGCACAAGGAGCTGCTGAAGGTCCCCTGGGACTGGCAGATAGGTAAGGCTGCGGTGCCGGCACTGTGCGCGGTGATGGTGCTGAGAAGTGTGTGAGGAGCAGTGGTGCTGGGAAGGACATAAGCACCGCGGGACTTAGACAGGAGGAGGCAAGGAAGACGAAGCCCCCGTCATCTCGGGGACTCTTGGCTGCCTGGGCCTGGGCCGCAGGCTCCTCCACTCCCTGTGAGCACCTGTCCAGGAGCACGGCCGAGGCCGGCCACAGACAGGGAAGTGCGTCACTAGGCTGAAAAGCAGAAAGAAAGCAAAATGCTCTCAGGCGCAAGTGCAGAGAGGTGGGCCCGTGCTTTGGCCCCAAAACACAAAGCTGGTGTGCACTTTAGGAAGCGGCGCTTTAGCAAAGAGTGCTGCTCTTTACTGAAGTGCCTCTGCGACCCGCGGAAGCAGGTGTGACTGTCCCCAGGGCTCTCTCGAGGGACTTCAGTGGTTGACGAGCCCTTGTGCGTGTCACAGAGTCCTGCCGCTTGCATTTTCTCCAGAGCGCTGTGATCCCATGAAAACCACTGGCAAGGTGGGGTGGGGAGGAGGGGAGGCTGACGATGCAGAGCCATCTGCTTCCGTGACTCCAGGCCGGCACCCAAGGGCACCCGGGCCCACAGCACTTCACATACGACGTCTGAGGGTAAAGTAATTTGCCACTGACGGGAGTAGCAATGATCAGAAAGAACTTGTCCTCTACCTGTGTGGCTGCCAGATGCACGTCCATAGAGGATGTGTTATAACCAGTTTTAGTTAGACGTGTCTTCAGAAGGTAGCTTTATTCTGGGATCTTAGGCTTGCCGTTAAAATGTCAGTCCCCAGGAGTCCCGGGCGATGAGGAAGGGGTAGGAGCGCACCATAGGGCACCCTGTAACTCCTGGCTGGAAACAACAGCCCGCAGGGTGAACGAATAGGCCTCCTGTCCCGTCTGAAGCCTCCCCAATGTCGATCGCGGGCCGCCTTGTCCTCCTTGGTTCACGGTGACCGCTGTGCAACTTAGCTCAGTTCCAGGCAGATGGTGTTCAGAGAATCTGCTCATTGAGTGAACAAATGGGCGCGTGGAGGCAGCGGGTCCTTTTCTGCCTTCTTTCGGGTCACAAGACGCACAGACACAGACGCAGGGGCAAGGCAGGGCCTAGGCTTGGCCTGGCTCTTTCTGCTGCGGACCGAGAGGCACATGGCAGCCACTGTGCCTCAGGACCAGAGAGGCAGGGGGACCTCAAGGAGGAGCAGCATCCTCTCGCTCCCTGCATGCCTTAGGAGAACAGAATTCAAGGAGTCCTCATCTCTTTCCACGACACTAACCAGCCTCAGACAGTGCCTGGACAACTCACACGGTTTCACTTTACCAAAGCAGAAGGGTGTCTTTCCTCCACAGATAAATGGAACAGTACATGTTTTCTGTTTTCTTGACTTCAAGGCATTTTTTTTTAACAGATTGTTATTTTTCTACAACCCGGGTCAGTCACAAGATAGACTGATTAAAAGCAAGAAAGCAATAGTTCCTATTGTTCGTTTTGCTCTGCAGAATGCAGAGACTGTGTTGAGCTAATCAGTAAACCCGAGTAAAACATGGGAATTAGTACAGTGAAAGTGTGCTCCTGGGGAGCAGGAGTGTTGGAATCACAGCCAGGAACCTAAGAAACCACTTTACTATTCCCTTCATCCCCTTCGCCGTGTGCTAACGGCTGTGTGAACAAACGGAAGCTGAGTGAGAGGGAACACCATAGGGAAGAAGAGCGCGTGGCGGTCGGCCCACCGGACTCACGAGACGCTCCGGCTTTTCGACTTCAGGCGTCGTGGAGTCTTGTTTCAGATTTTCACCACCACAGGCCAGAACATGAAGCTTGCCTTGAAGCTGGGACAGTGACACTGCAGAGCAGGGAGCATTTGGAGTTAGCTAGGAACATTCCATCCATAACAGCATGGACCCAAGGCCTGGGGCGCGCAGCCTGACGGGATCCTGGCTTCCCAGGACAGGCCGAGCCTAATTCATGTGCTCTGAGGCATCATCTTACCCAGCCATTGTTTTTAAGAATTAAAAATAGTGTTTTAGAAATCTAGTGTATACAAAGGAAAGAGAAAGATAAAATACTAGTGGGATCCAAAACAAGACATGGGGGCCGAGGGCAGAGCTCAGTGGCACACCTGCCTGCCTGGCAAGTGCAATGTCCTGAGTTTGATTCCCGGTACCAAAAAAAAAGAGATGAGATAAAATACATGTGGCATACACAGGCATACGTCATATGTGCTATTTTATATAAATCATATAAATCACACGTAAAATGAGATGCTCATTAGACTCTAACTATGTGCTACGCCCAGGCCGCACCTCTCTTCACCAGAGCGAGAAATACGACAAAGGGCGCATGCCCAGGCTCGGATGTAGGACTGAAACCCAAGGGCAGGCGTCTGCAGCTCTGCTCCTCACCCCCGTTTCCCCACCTGCTCTGCCCGGGCGAGGGCCCTGGCCAGGCATCCCCGTCCACTGGCTCCCGGCCAGGTTTGGCCCAGGAGAGGGAGATGGTGGTGGAAACCAAGTGTTTCTCCACTTCCAGCTGTTTGGGGTCAGATCTCCAGAAATGACCGAGTCTCTCCGGCCTCTGCCTGCAGGGCATCCCCAGCCTCTGCCCCAAGGCCTCCTGCCTGCGCGCCTCCGGCCGTCTGGTGGAACAGCCTCCTGCGCTTGCTCACCTCTGGCGGCCCCACTACCCTGCTTCGCCAGTCACCCACTCCCCGCCTTTGCAGCCTGTGCTGTATGGCATGTCCCCTGCTGAGCCTGGCCAGGCTGTCTCCTGACTGTCGCCTCTGCAACCTGTCCCCTCCCTGTGCCGAGGGGTGACAAGAGCGTCCCCGCGCGGTGGAGCATAGCAAGGGCAGGTCCAGCACACGGCACACAGCATGAGAACAGCCACTGGTATTACTTTCAGTCTCCTTAGTTTAAATCTCTTTAGTACACAAGGACAAGAGTGACCAAATTCTGTCTAACTGAGAAAATATTTCAGATAAGTGACAGGACATACAGTGGTCTATATTGTAACTATTGCAGCAGTTATGCCGGCTGAAAAGTGATTCGGTCACTTGTTTGCCCTTGTTGGTCACTTGGGACCCCCACATGGACAACAGGTTGATCCTCAGACACAGGCTGACGTCCACTAACAGCTGACATCCTCCCAGGACCAGAAATCTGCAGAGTGGAGCACTGCTGCATTCCAGCGCCCATCTAATCATGGGCCCATTTGGCTGACGGCCTCACTTACAAAACAGGGCATTCGTACCCCAACACTCTGCTTGACCTGGCAAAAGCCACGAGTGGTGACAGTGACGTGTAGCCCTAGGTGGGATTCCTGCAGCTTCAGCACACGCGCTTGGAATGTTACGTCTGGAGGCGCCCTGAGCCGGCCGGGAGGAGCGTGGCCGCACGCTGAGCCCCGCCTGGCTGGGTGTGCCTGGAAAGTCACACGTGGGGAAGAGCCGCTCACACCAGGACGCCCGGGTGGCGGAGCAGGGAGGGAGGCGCCGGGAGAGGGAGGACCCTCCAGGCCAGGCCCAGTGACCGCCTCTCCTGACCCCAGCCCGCTCCAACTGCAGTCTCCGGCCTTCACCTTCCCCAAGCCCCGCCTTGAGTGCGCCAGGCTTTGGGGGACCTCCCGGGGAACACGGTGGCCGAGAGTGCTCCGGAGCCTGTAGCTCGGTCATGGCATCAGCTACGCCAGTGCCGCCTTGTCAGAGGGCCTGGTACGTCTGCGCTGTGTTCTGTCCGGATTCGATTATTTTTGTGCGTTAGTTTATGGATGAATCTTGTTCCTAGTGGTTGGTCACAGATTAAGGAATATTGGATCAACTTATATGTCTTTTCAGGTATTAGTCATAGGCTGTGGAGTGTTTAAGTTTTAGTAACTCGGTTAAAAGGAAAATGGATTAAAGTATCGTGAAAGCCAAGGGCAGGGCAATGGAGTGTTGTGAGGAGCTGAGACCTGTGCGGGGGGAATCAGGCCCTGAGACTGCGACAAAACCTCCCCCGGCAGTGCAGAAGCAAGGGCCTCCCTTGCTCCCGTGGAGCGCTCATCCCACCACTAGAGGGCGCTGTCACCCTGAGTTTGCTTACTTAATGTTCAAAGCAATATTTTAATATGGATCTGATGTGACTTTTCTATTTATTTATTATTTTTGATGTGAGTTTTCTTAAACTTATAATCAGAAAAAAATACAAAATGAGAGTTTATGCCCTATCTACTTTTATAGGAGCAAACCAAATTTCTCTCTGGAGGAATCTCTGGTCTCCATAAGTCAGAGGGACTGGAGATCCACTCCCTACTAAATCACCCTAAATTCACCAGATTCGGGAGAAATCATCTGGTCCCACCAGGCACCTGTAATCAGGATTTCTTGGAAACATCCACTGAATGTATTACTTATGCTTGTTCTGCCCGTTGTTCTTTCAAAGTAGAGAAATGAGCATTATTTTTCTACCTTTGCCCTGAAAAAACGTCTGGGAAAAGATAAAGCAAATTTTAGAATTAGCTGTAAACTTCTGCTGGGACCCTACAAAATTGAGTATCTGGAGTTTGTACTAACCAGTGTGTATGTAGGCATAAGTGGATAGGGAGAGACTGACTATAGCACATTTTGGGGTGACTCTCATACGTGAGCCCATGGTACCCTAAGAAGCTAGGGGAGGCAGGGCTCAGTGTCTTGGGTGGGGCGGGGCAGAATTCTTAGGCTTGAACCCGTCAGCACTCCATCCTGGAGCAAGGAGTGAGCCACCCAGGGCCACAGGCTGGGGCTCCGGGACCCCACGCTCAGTCTGTGGCAGGTCTGCTTTTCCATTCAGCAACTATGTATCTGTTCACAATCCTGACAGCACATGATCCTGAGCAGAGTTGTTCCTGGTTTACATTAGAAACCCAAGACGTCAAAGGGTTTTCAAGTATATGGAGAGCAAAAGTTAATGACAGTGAGGCTGTGGCAGGAGGATGCTGAGAGTTTGAAGCCAGCCTGGGCTAGAGTGAGTTCAAGGCCAGCCTGAACTGCAGAGCAAAACCCTGTCTCAAAAAGACAAAAAAAAAAAACTAGTTAATGCTGGCCAGCTTGGCGATAGAACCCAGGCTGGACATTGCCGCGCTGCTCCCCAGAGGGGCAGAAGACTAGCAAGGTGCAGCAAGTGCTTTGTCCGAACATGGGCCTGGACTCCTCGCTTTCTTGCTTGCGGGGGTTTGGCCAGTGGGCAGCACTGATGAGAAGAGAGCTAGCGTTAGGGAGCCATCCCATGCACGAGTCCCCGCCCGCCACCATGTGACGCTCTCTCTGCCCCTCAGGGCTGCTGTACGTGGGCTTCAGCGCCTGCATGTTCGGTCTCTACAGCTTTATGCCCATCGTCATCAAGAAGACCAGCGCCACCGCCGTCAACCTCTCCCTGCTCACGGCGGACCTGTACAGCCTGTTCTGCGGGTTGTTTCTGTTCCACTACAAGGTACGTGGGGTCTGTCCACGGTGACGTGACATGAGCAGCTGTGGGTGGCTCTGGGGGTGCGGGGAGGAAGAGGACAACTGTGCTCAGCCCCATGATGTGGGAATTGCGTTGCCACCCTGAGCCAGGGGCGGCATCCTGTCCAACAGCGTTCAGTCACTGTGGACACCTGCTAACCGGTAAGTAAACAAATACACAGCAGACGAGAGGGAAGAGCTCGCTCCTTTATTGTCCACCCAGAAATTACTCTTTTCCCAATCTGGAACTGGGAAGATTTGTGAAATTCCCAAGCTACAACCAGAAAAATGGGTTCTGCCGAAGGCACTGGAGGATGGTACTCTTTGGAGAACAGACACAATTCTGTGGTTTCTACTCTGCAGATGTTATTATAGCAAACGTGAGTGAAAACGCGTGCAGTGGGAATGATTTCCTTCCTGGAAGATTGGGATTCACATAAAGTAGTGCAAAGAAGGTGGGAGGCATAGTGTGTGTTAGCCCTGAGCAACCCATCCTGCCCAAAGCTGGCCATCTTTTAGCATGCCGGACCCCACACACCTCTGGGACCGACTGATTCTGACACCTGGCGCTCGGGCACTGTTCTTCCTGCCACTCCGCCTCTGTGGTCACTGGCAGGCAGTCAGCCCGGGCACGTGACACTTGCCAGCCCTTCGCCAGCCCTGTAAGGTGAGTGCACCTCAGCCCAAGACAGGGCAGGCAAAAGAGGCAGTCAGAGGGAGCCCCGGCCTGGCCATGCGGCCTCGGAGTCGTGACCACCAGCACGTGCGGGTGGCCGGCAGGCGGGCACATGGGGGGCGGTGTCTCCTCAGCCAGGCGAGGTGGGGCAGCAGGGCGCTGGAGGGAGGGTCGGCTGGGAAGCAGAGGCACCTGCGAGGCGAGGGCTGTGGCCGAGCTGAGAAACACAAGGACGGCACACACGGGGCCGGCGGGGGAGCCTGGAGAGGCTGGGACTGGCTGGGCATGGCAGGGGGTGCGGCCAAGGGCTGAGTCCCGCTTGCCCTCAGTGTCAACAAATAAGAAGTGCGTGTATTAAGGTGTACAGTATGGTGTTTTGATAGCGGTAGACATTTTAAATGCCTGCCACAATCAAGCTAGTTACCACACCCATCACAGAGCGTATAGGGTACTTTATTTTAATTAGTCTCTCTCCCCCTCCCCCTTCCCTCTCTGTGTGTGTGAGTGTAGTGAGAGTATTTAAATAGATCGTGGCAGATTCCAAGTATGCATCTTCATTACTGCAGACAGTGGACTCTGGAACTTATTCAGCTCATAACCGAAACTTTGTGCCCTTTCTTTGGCCAGCACCTCCTCCTCCTCCTTGTGAGCTCCTAGTTTAAAGGAAACCTGTGGACAGTGTAGTGGCAGAAATGACAGCTGACAGATGCAGCGCCCAAGGCTGGACACTGCTTATTGTCTGTGATTTGCTTTATCTGTGCGGTGCGCTCTTCATGTTCCAAGCTCACCCGGGTCCTTGTGGGTACAAAGGTCTGGCGTGTCCTCTCGGGCTGTTCCTGGCCACAACACTGGAGGACATTATTTCATGGGTGCTGGGACCAGGTGGCCTGGTCGCACCACTGCAGCAGAGTTGAGAATGGCCTTGAACTCACGAGGTAGCACAGGCTGGCCTCAGACTTGTGGCAATCCTCCTGCCTCAGCTTCCCAAGTGCTGGAATTACAAGGATGCACCACCACATCCACCTGATCCTAACTGGGAGCAAGGTCTTTTAAAAGCTCTTCAATTAATTCACCGTGTGTCCTAACGTGCAGTCAGAATTGAGAATCACCCCTCTGCAAGATTTTTTATGGCTTGTGCATCCCACAGGGTGGTTACGCCATTTGGGGTAGGGAGTGTCCTCGGCATCAGCCCTGGGCTCCCTCCGTAGATGTCGGCAGCACCCCAGTAATGATGATGAGCAGTGTTTCCATGCACTGCTAAATATCGGGAACTATTGACTTGACAACCCCTAGTTCCTGCGCTCAGATGCGACTCACTTCTGGCTAATATAATTTGCAGAATTAACTTGTGCTACATCTTTGCTCAAATACAATGTTTCAGTGGATTTTTACAAAAATTTAAATAAATCTATACAGTTGGGGGTTTCCATTTGTAATTGGAAATAATTTTTTTAAATAATTCAAAGTGACTAAATTGAGAACCCTTTGCAAGTGCCTCACAGCCCTGCTACTGCTGGAGCCAAGGTCAGGACACAGACAAACACCGCCTTCCTCCTCCTTTGTGGTGATGTGTTTCCCCTGGCACTGCCGGCTTAGTTCTTAAATGCTGTCTTGTATTGAACCGCTGTTTATGAACAATGGTTCTTTGCCTTAATATAAGCAAAGAAATAAGCTAAATGCTTGTTTAAATGCAGAAGTTCAAAGTGCTTTTGCCGTCAGCAGTCTCTAAAAGCCTCCTCCCAACTGCCCTTGGCTTCATCGTCGAATGGCTGTCGCTGGGCGGGCTGGGCCTTCCTGTCAGCACCCTGCCTGCCTGGCTCTCAGGGTGGCGCTGGGGCTGCAGAGAGAGGCCAGAGCTGGGAGAGGGGTGGTCTCGGCAGCCCCAGTTTCCACCTCTGCCAGACGGGCCATCTCAGAGCACGGACTTATAAACGATTTTTATGGATACACAGTGTGATAAAAAGAATATAATTAATGTTTAAAATTTCAAAAATGTTGTTGCAGGGAAAGGCACTTTGCCATTAATCTTCAAAACCCTCCCCCTCATTTAGAGTACAATTATTCCATCGGTCTTATGGCTTTCTGCAGCAGCTCTGGAGTCCTCTTTTGTGAGCGTCTTCAGTTGCAGTGTTGTGGCTGCCTTGATGTCCTGAATTCACTCAAAACGTTTCCCTTTCGTGGTCATTTTGACTCTGGGGAAGAGCCAGAAGTCGCTTGGTGCCAGATCCAGTGCATAAGGTGGGGGAGGACATACCGCCCAAAGTCACAGGCGACCTCTTTGGAGGGCCCTCTGTCGGGGGGTGCGGCCTCCACGAATCCACCCTAGCCGCAGAAACAAGTCTTTGCCACCCAAAATGCTCACTAGTGAAAAGGGGCAGAGAGAGATCTTAAGATAATTTGTCTGAAAAGGCTGCCTCAGCTGTCCTTGGTACTGTGATGAGTGTGAGTTTTGTAGAATTCCATCTGCACATTTTCATTAGAACACATTCTGTGTTTTAGTCTCCTTCTAACACCAGATTTTTAAAAAACGATTGCTGTGAATTATACAGTAGTCAGAGGAGTTTCTGAGGACCGGCTGCCCGTGTCGCAGTCCAGGGTCCCTCCTGCGAGGATGGGCACAGCGCTCTGCGGCCCGCCTGGCACCCCGTCTGCCCGAGGTCTGTGCTGCTGCTGCTGTTGTCATCGGAGATGCAGGAAGCAAAGTTTGCGGTCTCTGGACATGGAGTGATTTTTATGGAGTCATATTTTTATGCATTAAATTTAAGAGAACTTCACCCAGCAAATATTTATTCTGTGGCCACCGTGTGCCAGCCCGCTTGTGGCCCTGGCTTGGTTTATAAATAAAGATGACAGGGACACTGCATATCATCCAACAGACAGATGCCAAGGATGAGACTCCAAATGCTGCAGCTCAAACAGACCGGCAATTTCAAGTATCCTCACCATCTGTGGGCCCCCGCCAGGGAGTTAGCGAGACTGAAAACTTTCATAAAGCATGGAATCTTTCATTAGACATGGATCAGAATCCTGAGCCCAGCGGCTCTGTTGATCCCGGGCCACTGGGAGCGAGCTGGGTCATGTAGCTGCGCCTTCAAAACCAGGGCCAGCAGCCCAACCTGTGGCCGCCAGCGTGCAGAAAAGCAGTATTTATAGTAACGCCCTCAAAAGTAGCCTAGTCTGTCTTTTTATAAGAAAGCCTTCTTAAAACACTATGAATTTCAAGCTCATAATGCCCAATTGTAATTGTAAATGGGAGATTTAAAAGTTAATACTTGACCTTTAATGGCTGTCTTCAATTTTCTTTTTGTGGTACTAAGGAACCCCTGGCCTTTGCACTGAGCTGCCCATGTATATATATATTGTGGGGGTTTTTTGATGTGTTTCTCTGTCTCACTACGTTGCCCAGGCTGGGCTTGACCTGCAGTCCTCCTGCCTCAGCATCACAGAGTGCTGGGACCACAGGTGTGCGCCCCCTCACCACAGTTATCCCCCGTACTTGTTACAGTACTTGGTGAGCAGAGAACTGGGGAACTGGCACCCCTGAGGGCCAGATGCATCTCACACAAATACCGAAGTGCAGAGCAGTGAGTGTGTGAGCTCTGCGCAGGGTGAGTGTGGCTGGCTTATGGCAACAGGGGAGGCTGTTTTCCCTCAGTTTGTCAGGAACCTGACCAGGTGCCTTTCCCCTTGTGTCTCTGCCATCTTGTGAGCATCGACTGGAAGCTATGACAAAGGGCTGGCCACCTCGCCTTGTAATACAGTTCTGCCAGAGCAGACCCATTTCTGTGTATGGCAGCCATCCCTTGAGCAGCCTAAAATATTTACCATCTGGCTCCTTTAGAAAAAGTCACCAAAGCCTTGTTAGGCCTTGGGAGTCGTTAGCAGGACTGTGAGACACGTATGGCTCTGTCTAGCATGATACGACAGGACCACACCCTCCACCCTGTGTGGTTGGCTGGAACTCAGCCCAGGCCACAACTGATTGCAAAGCAGGCTGGGAAATGTGCCGGGCAGGCTGGGAAGTGTAGTCAGACCATTTGTACAGGAAGAAAAAACAGACTTAGGGAACAAACAGGCAATGGTAAAAATTTCCATTTACCATTTCATAATGAAACACAGAAGTCACAGTTAAATTAAGAGGCCATCCCAGAATTACAGCTGGAAGTCAAAGCTCTTCCATGAACTCCACAACACAGAATAGATATTTTAGACTCACAACCTCAGGACAAACCGACAAACCAAGGAAAACTGGACCAGGCCAGAGGTATTGCAGAAGTTTTGAAGAGAAAGGAGAAGCCCAAGGGTGTTTT